AGAAATAATGTCTATATATATATATATATATATATATATATATATATATATATATATATATATATATATGTGTATTATATATTATTATGTAAATTATATAATATAATATTGTATTATAGTTATTATATCCGAGTTGTCTGGAACGCAACATTAGGTTAACATTTCAATAAACGAGCGTTTACAATTACGAGCCATTCTATAAGGTAACATTTCAGCACTTGACAAATGGATAGCGACTCCTAAGTAGCACTTAAAGCACGGCTACGTGCGATTGCGTAAAGTGCATTTTTGGGAAACGCACGTGAAACCGTTACGAACGATCGATATATATATATATATATATATATATGGTTACTACTATATATAGTAGGCTATATACATAACTGTATTGTACTAATATATAATATTGTGCGCTATCGGTCACGCCCACTGAAGGATCGTCAGTAGATCATGCGCTGATAGCTCTGAAGTGAACTAACCCTGGAACATAACCTGCTCTGGAGCAGGTTATCTTCAGAGAGCAAGTTACTATGGTTACTTACATACCTTGACAGTTACCTCCAATTTTTGAACCGAAAGCTGAGGTTATCTGCTTGCTTATCCTCAAACATACCTGGGTATGTCACATAACCTGCTTTTTGGAATACCCCCCTGTAGTGTGCATAAGAGTTTTCTGCTTATTGAATTTCATGCTGAATAAGTGGAAACTTCCACTTTTGTTGGGCAACAGCTTGATCTTTTTGTTTAAGCTGTCAAAATTCTGAAGTGAGGCAGATAATGAACATCTGCTCAGCTTTTGAATGAAGCTCAGCCTTTCTCCTGTGTGTGCCAGAGAGTATTTTGTCACAACTTCGCAGTAGGGCAAATGTCAAATGTCCAACTTGACTTGGAATTTTCCCAAGCAAAGCAACCCATCTACAACCCAACCACATTGTTATTTCTGTTCTCTGTAAATGGGTTTTGTCAGCAGTCAGGATTTACTGTATCACTGCTGCCTATTTTAGGTTGAAGGAAACCCGATGGTTCCGTCGGTTGTTTTGCAGGCAGGCTCTGAGAAATGAGAGACCTTCCACCAAACTGTCAAGGCCCTCATTTCAGCTCCGTCCCTCTGAGCACTTCAAGAACACAAGAGCTTTTCCCCTGAGCATTAATCTGTCTTTCTGTATGTGATTAAATTAGAAAACAGGATACTGTTCTAGCCAATTCGCCCAATCCCTTGGCCACAAATGATTCAGGACTCCAGGATGTTTGAAATGCTCACTTAGAGTTTGACAAATGGCTGTTGACATTCTGAAAGTGTTGGATTGTTTGGCCGCTCTACTGTAGATGAGGAAAGCCAGTGGCCATGTATTGTTCCAGTAGGTGGTCAGAAAGTCTTTTCAGGAACGTTGAGGACTGGGAGGAGTTCCCAGCTCTTTGTTTCAGTCTGTTGTTTTGAGTGTTTTTCCAAAACTCTTCAATGCTCTTGTTTTGGGTCATAATATTTGATGCAGTTTTGCAGGGCCTTGATAGGTTTGGCTGTGAAATTGAGTATTATTAAGTAAGGCTGGGTATCGTGTTCGATACTTTTTAGGCACCGACCGAATTGCCTCGATACTATCGAGTATCGAAAAGCGTCTCATCGTTTGGTACCAAATTTCGATACCTAAGGGGTTAATCTCATCAACATCAGTAAGGCACAGATCGATCAGTGTTTGCCATCCGCGAGAGCGATGCGAAAACGTACGGAGCAGTCTGCTCGTGGTATCTTACTATAGCCTAATAGACCGATAGGTCTGCACAGTCGGTCAGTGACTGTGACACTCAGAGATGTGGCTCACACGTGAGTATTTAGTGTGAATGCGTCCCAGCCCCCGTAGCTGTAAGGCTACATTTCCACTGGTGCGTTTTTGTTTTAAAATGAAAACGATCCTCGTTTTACTGGCGTTTCCACTGCGTTTCAAGCTGGCTTTCCAATATCTCTGACAAATGACAGAGCAAAAGTCAATAATTTCCAATGGAGAGTAGCGCGGGAGCTGTGTAGAGTTTCAATCATATGCAGATGTCCGTTCATACTACAAGACCCAAAGCACGTGTTATGTGACCATTCATGCATACTGTAGCATCATGCTACATAAGACCAGGGTTTAAATTGGGCCGGGCCGTCTGGGGCTGAGCCCCGGCACACAGACTCCAGGGCTTGACATTAACTCATTAACGTTAGACAAGTAACATGATTAAAACATCAGTAACCAAAAATAACTATGTAAACACCAAAACGCAATATTATTCAGATTTTATTACATTTAGAGTAAGTGGCGAATAGTGGATATAGCTACTGTATATAATGTATCTATTGACAGTATAAGGTTGCGCTGCTGAGGTGTTCATTGCTGATTGATTCCGTGTTTTGAACGAATCGGTTGAGTCAAAGTTTCATTAGCCCATGCATAAACATCTGATGAATCTGCCGTTTGAACGAATCGTTTGAATGAACGACTCAATGACTCACTCATTAAACGCTCACTACTGGCACCTACTGGCGTTTTAATTTAGTTGAAAAGTATCATTTCCACCATAATTTCTTGTTAGCATATTAAAAAATATTTAAAATAATCTCATAATAATAATTTAATGCAGTTGTATTTTTCAGTGTCAATTGAATTTATAGATCAAATGTAAGAATTTGAAATGAAAGTATTAATGAGATTTGACCATCAAAATAAAGTGTTAGCATATATTTACAGTAGCAGACATACTAATACTCTAATGACCGCTAGTTGATATGTAGTTACAGAGTCACTTATCAACAGCTGTTTAAAGGGTACCATCAAAATAATCAAACTGATATTACAATAAAAATAGTTCAAAGCAAATGTGTCATATTCCACATTCATCTGATCTGATATCTGGTCTTATGGCTATTTGAGAGAAAAAAATGTTGTTATTATTATTATTACTACTTATAAGTGGTCTTTGACCGCTTTATGTAAAGTAGCATAAGAAAAATGGCAAGATGCGAGACTTATAATACATTATAACTATGAGAAATATAATCCATTGTAAAAGTGGATGCAACGTGTTCATTGTGTTATAAATCATCATACTCTTAAAAGCTATAACCACAAATAAGTAAATATTATAATATATTAAAAGTGTTCTTATGAATATTCATGAGATGATACAACATATTATAAGGTTTTTTATAATGCATTATGCATTCATTATAATGCCTTAAGAATACCCTTATAATGTATTATAAATACGGGCTTCATAGAAAGTGTTACCCAAACATTGTTCTAAACCCTGGATAAAGGTATGTTTCATATTTGTAATTTAGAATAAAAAACTCTAATTTACAAGATTCCTCTTCTTAATCGTGGACACTCTTATTTGTCATTGACCTGACTACAGCAGGTCCACATTCATCACTGCCCCCCCCTCAAATGCTGAAATGACTGGGTAAAAAGTGGTACAAAAATCTAGTTTAATGAAATATGAATCAGGTTCTAAAAATATTTTTTTTTTTGTCATCAAGTTAAAAAGTAATTACATTTACCTTAATTACGTGTATACATCTTAGTATTTTTTTTATTTATTTATTATTTATTCTGGTGATGAATGTGGGCCTGCTATAGCTAGCCCCTTTTCTGAGGATAAAATGGGCACACATCTCTGGAGACAAACCAGTAAGCAATTTGATGAAACGAATATGACTGTCTCCTGTAGGACAGTCTGAAACAAATCTTCACATCCATCTTCTGTCGATCATGCTGTGAAGAACCCTCTCTGCTCCCCTGGAGATCCAGCAGCCGATTTTGCTGTAACTTGCAGAGATGTTAATAGACCTGGTGTTTGAGCGATGGCATAGTTGGGCTTGTTTCAGCCCTTCTCAGCTGTGATGCCGCAGTCTCTAGATGCTACATGCTAATTAGCTAGTACTACAAAGATGAAGGGATGCTTTGTACGCATGGTGAGCGAATGTTCTCTGGATGCTATCACAGGCCGGATTTCAGTGCTCAAATAGCACCAGCTGCTCACGGTCCAAGCTAAATATTTATCTGCACTGCCACCTGCTGGTTACTGGTTTCTTCTGTGATTGATTGTGTGATCGCTTTTTAAAAATCTCCTCAAATAGGTTATAATGGAGGCAGTGACAAAACACTTGTTCATAACTGAGCGAATGACATAATTCTGCAATTATGTTTGCAGAGAGCTGAAGCTGAGGAATTACACGCCGGAGGACGAGGAGCTGAAGGAGAGACAGGTGCCCAAAGCAAAACCTGCATCAGGTGAGAATACTTCTGGCTTACCTGCAGGAAATGTTACTGGATGTACCTTTAAATTATATTTTTAAATGTTATACCTGCAAATTAAACGGACCGTTCGGTAATAGTCATGCTGGGTGATAATGTTGCAGCAGGTGATCAGGTGTTGGGTTTCAGGTTGTCTGACTGGTCTTGTTTCGTTTTACTGTAGTGGAGGACAAGGTCAAGGACCAGCTGGAAGCTGCAGACCCAGAGCCTGTGATTGAGGAAGTGGTGAGTGGATTTTTCCCTTGATACAAAGTCTTAGGTTTCAAGCATGATGCCATATGGACAGCACCAGTGTTTCCTGAATATATACACTACCAGTCTAAAGTTTGGAATAATTAAGATTTTGTAATGAAAAAATACAGTAGCATTGTGAAATTATTACAATGTAAAATAACTGTTTTCATTTTTAAATATATTTTAAAATGTAATTTATTCCTGTAATAGTAAAGCTGAATTTTCAGTTGCCATTACTCCAGTCTTCAGTGTCACATGATCCTTCAGAAATCATTTTGATATTTGCATTTGGTGCTCAATTATTAAAAATGGTTACTATTGTCAAGGTTGGAAACCATAATTCTGGATTCTGGAAAAACAGCATTTATTTAAAATATAAGTCTTTTGTAACATTATAAATGTCTTTACTGTCACTTTTGAATTCATTGCTAAATAAAAGTATTAATTTACAAAACAAATGTGTTTGCAAACTTTTTGAAGTGTGAACTTGAAAACCTGTCTGAATTTGTGAGTCTTGTTTTGAACAATTCATTAAAAGAACCATATCAAAAGAGTTGTTTGTTCATTAATCAAGTTACACTGGTTGCTCTGTATATGTGTCCTGTCTTTATAGACTTGTTTACTTGTCATTATTTTTCATTGTTTAAGGCAAGCTCACATTATAATTTCTTTTGTAGTGGCAAAGTGTCGTCTCAAACAGTGCAAGAATCACTGGGCAGCCCTTGCCTGAATTTAAACTAATGTCATTCTCTTTTTTTCACTCTTGACTTGTGTTCTCAGGATCTGGCCAATCTTGCCCCCAGAAAACCAGACTGGTACAAACCTTCCATTTTTACCGCTAAAAACACAATCATGCATCATATTCATTGAGATCCATTTTAGTTGAAGTTTTCATTCATTTAATGGATTGTGTTGTGTTTGTAATAGGGATCTAAAGAGGGACGTTGCCAAGAAGCTTGAGAAATTAGAGCGGCGAACACAGAAAGCTATTGCTGAACTTATACGTGAGTATGACCTGACACACTGAGACTGAGGCCAGTCTGCACCAAGGACGATATCTATAATGATAAAAACAACAATGTAGAACTGAAGCATTGACCCATCTCCACATCACTTCTTTTATCAGTAATATATTGAAACTGTAGTTGTAGAGCCTTTCTGCAATGAGCTCCGCCAGGGCTTGATGAAAGGCTAATTGCTGTGTGTGTTCAAAAGCCCTGGAGATCTGACGTCTCTTAATGACATCATATATGGATTTCCTGTCCCTATACGCTCCTCTGGCACAGACTAGACCTAACATTACTACTATACTCTAGTTTTGCCTCTCAAACCCACAGTTCAAATGAAAACTCTGTAATATCTTAAAAACGAATATTTTGTGGATAACCAAATCAGAACTAGAACACACAAGAGCCTTTGGTGAACCACATTCTTCATGTCCATAGCTTGTTTATGTCTGGGCATTTGTGTAATTCCACAGGTGAACGGCTCAAGGGAAGCGAGGAAGAGCTGGCTGGAGTGGTTGGAGCAGTTGGCATGGAAGAGGGAGACTCGGATTGAATCTGTGTTGAGAATGACAGTCTCGTACAACAGGTTTTCTAGAAGTTTCCAGCCCATTTCCCATTACATAGCAGTGTGTGTTTAAAATGGATTTCTTATGCTGAGCTCAGCATGAGTTTACACACAACCAGATCAGGTGATTAGAAGTGTGAGTGTTTGTGTGTGAGAGAATGAAAGAGATACAGGTGTTTTCATATGGAGTACACAAAGAAGACTTTCTCTTTTTTATTATTATTGTGTTGTTTATAAGTAAACAGTTCTTTCTTTTCCAAATTGACTCTATATTTTTCCTCTCTGGGCCTTATAATAATAATAATAATAATAATAATAATAATAATAATAATATGGAGCAGTTGGCATGGAAGAGGGAGACTCGGATTGAATCTGTGTTGAGAATGACAGTCTCGTACAACAGGTTTTCTAGAAGTTTCCAGCCCATTTCCCATTACATAGCAGTGTGTGTTTAAAATGGATTTCTTATGCTGAGCTCAGCATGAGTTTACACACAACCAGATCAGGTGATTAGAAGTGTGAGTGTTTGTGTGTGAGAGAATGAAAGAGATACAGGTGTTTTCATATGGAGTACACAAAGAAGACTTTCTCTTTTTTAATATTATTGTGTTGTTTATAAGTAAACAGTTCTTTCTTTTCCAAATTGACTCTATCTTTTTCCTCTCTGGGCCTTATAATAATAATAATAATAATAATAATAATAATAAAAAAACAATGTCTGTAGGCTTCTTTTAAAACAGAAACTGAGTGCTGATAAAGAAGAGCTAAATTCATATTTTCATGTTTGGTTTTTCTTCTTTCTCATTAATATGAGAGAGTTCTAAAATCAGACACATTACAGAGAAGAATACAATATCATAATTGATGAGAACAGTACAGATAAAACTGCAGTACATTATTCTGGCTTCAAGATATTTGGAATAAGTTAGAATAAATTAGTATGTGTACTCGAGCCAGTCTCTTCAAGTACTTAATAAAATCAAGTAAAGTTTCGCTTAAAGGAGAGTTAAATCTTTTTTTTTTCTTCTAGAATTATTCTGCCATGTTTTACAAGATGCAAATGTTCAGAAGCAAACAGATAGATCTACTGTATGTTTTTGGTTAAAATATAAGTTGTATGGACAGCACACATCTTTAACAATAAAGGGCATTCCTCACCTCCCTCTGTAACATGGCTAGACCTAACAAACCAATATGACCTTTCACATTAAACCTAAACTTATCCTAATCATCCCAGCAAATTAATAATCATATATAATTTATTTAAATATATTGATATGTTGGATGTTTGTACGTTTATTATGTATTGATAATGGAAATATATATTAATGTTTAAGTAACATTTTGTTCTGTGTGGTCTCACTCAATTGGGCCAAAACCAAAAAATGAGATGCTCACCACTAAGAGGTGCTATTGCACATAATCTTGTGAAGTATAGATACATTCGTTCTTATCTTTAGCAGATGGTTTCTTATCCAAATCCTGGCTTTATTTCCTCCTTCAGTGACAGTAGTGCTATCAAATAACTCAAGAACCATCCAGTTCATGAATCACCACTTTAGGGGTTTAAAAAAAATGTGACCTTTTGGTTATTAGCCTTAATCTTGAAATGCTAACATGCCACCTCCGTCAGAAATAAAATCAGCAAATGCTGATCTCGTGCAGTTTGGCTGAACTCACATCCTCTGAAAAGACAGACTGGCTGGTTCAACACACATAACAATCATAGAAGTCCACACCAACCATACTCCAAAAATACATCGTTTTGCCATTACTTCCTAGACTATATATTATACCAAATAATTTCAAGGTTTTTGAGTAAATATCAGTAAAAACTTCAAGCATTACACAATTAAGATATTGTGGCCTCTTGAGTAGTGACTCCACAAAGTTTTTATGCAAGATTTACTGAAATATCATCACCAGTCTTCCCTGTGGAGAATTTTCTGTGATACTTTGAACTTATGGTGACAGAGCTTGTCTTGATATTGGTGGTGGTGGGTGTTGGTGAGACTTTGACATGCAGACCAACTGGTGGAGAAAAGCCATTGCTAGGTAGCGGGAAGAAACTGGAACTTATGTGGCATCACAGATGTTTCCAGAACTGTAGCCCTTGAGTAGGATTGGAAACCTGAAAAGTGCAAGGCTTGTCCATCTGCACTTGAGTTGATGCCATTTCTGGTGTATACTTGTGAGGGTTGATGGTATGCATTAATTTTTGCTTTCATTATGTCCACCCGTCTCGATTTTTCGTGCAGCAGGGCCCAGCTCCACCTTACACACTCGCTGGGCAAACTTTAGCGAGCACAGGGTCTCTCCAACGTTGCTCTCAAGAGAAGAAACCTAAAAAAAATAATTGTACATGAGCATTGTTGTTCACTGGTGTTATTTAAAAAATGTACATTATGTAGGAGGTGCTTTAAAGTGGAAGTGAAGCAGTCAGTCAAGTTTTCATTATTTAGTAAAGTGATTGCCACTTTAATTAAAAAAAGGTGATTAAACACTGCATTGTCCTAACAGCAGGTACATTCGCAGGTGTTGCATACAAATACTGGCGAACGAGCCAGTGTAATGCAAATATGTCTGAAAGGTCTGACATAACAAGGTGCTTCATACTGTATGAAGCGTTGTTTGTTTACATCACGTTACGCCTCGCGTTATGAAAACAATGTTTGGGATATAATAATCAAAACTTCGTGATATAGGCCTAGATGATGTGTTATAGATATTTATGTTGAATATTCATCCAAATTATGGTGAAAACCAAAATATTGATGTGTTAAAATAACATTTATGTGTTCAAAGAAATGAAGAAATGCTTATATTCACTGGCCAACGGAACGAGCCAACCCTGTGACGTCACACGCGGTGGTAATGCAAGATGGTGGCACCCTTGCTCTAAAAGCTATAACAAAACACCCCTTTTTCTTTAAAATGGTTACATTAATCGTGTTTGTTATGTATTTTTTAATTAGGGTGGAAATCACTTTACTAAATAATGCAAACTTGACTGACTGCTTCACTTCCACTTTAACACCAACCAACTCTGGGTTACTGTCTTTTTAAACCCCGCTTTTAACCCTGGACTATGCTGCCAGAGTTATCTAGTGAGTCTCAGTAAATCTTTGTACCTGAACAACCATGGCGGTTTTGTTGCCTTTTCCCAGTGAGTCCTGCAGCAGGTAGGTGAGTCGTGAGTTCCTGAAGGGTATATGAGTCTGGTGGGCCTTCAAGGCCTGGATCACATCTCCTAGAGCCAGCAGTGAGCGGTTGATATTCTGGGCTTCCTTCAGTCTCTCCCCCTCTGCCCCAGACTTCCACACCCTTTCAGAACCAGCCAAATCCACAAGATTCAGCTTGCCTGCAAAAGAGAGGTCAAGGATTAGGATCATTCAAGGATAGTGAGGGCTTTTTGAGGGTGAACTCGTGATTTTGAGAACTCTTGCACAACTTAAGCAATCTAAAGATCCAGAATCGTTGGGACTGACCGGTGGTTTTGGCTCCACTGGCGAGGTCTGTGCCCAGCACAGTCACAGTGAGCAAAGCATGAGATCGAGAGCTATGCTGGTTCATCTGTGTTCCAAATGTAATCCTGTTCTTTCGAGCTATGGCCAAAATCTGCAAAAAAAAAAAAATAACAACAGATGATTGGAGAGAATGGTTTTTGTATAGTCAGCATTATCTTGACAGATGACACCCTGGGACTCACTTTCTTGATATGCTGGAAGCTTTTTACCTCCATGACCCTGAGTCCTGGTACATGGAGCTGACCCGTCCCATCAGGGTTGATCTTGATGTCAAGTTTCTCTCCATCCTTACTGAGCAGATCTCTGATGTTAACAAAAAAAAGTTAATGATTTAATTGTAATAAACTCTGTCAAACTCAAACTCTGAAAACTCTGTCATTAAACCAAAACTTTGAGAAATCGAAAAGACTGTAAAAGAAAAAGGGAAGATGTGTTTGCCAATGAGGTTTGTTCTTGCATGTCAAGCAAGTACAGTTGAGTTTTCACTTACCATATTGGATTTGCTGTATGTATGTGTTGATCTATGTTTATATGTGAATAATAGCCTAAATTAAATCTGTCCATTATAAAAAGCCATCATGTCTCTTCAAAAGACTTGAATTAAACCACTCGATTCATATTTTGAAACTTTTTGAAGCATCAAAAGTTTTGGTGGAATACACTTTTAAGGCAAGGACAGAAATCTCTTACATGCCATAAAATATCTTCATTAGCATTTTAAAGATAAATGGGAAACTTGTGAGTTTGGAAAGATGTGAGGGTGAGTAATTTATGACAGAATTTTAATTTTTGGATGAACTAACCCTTTAATATTCCTCATAAACATCAACTGAACATCAGGTTATTTCATGAGCTAAAAGCTCACTTTACATTTTTTTTAATTACCAACAATTACCATAGATTTTGGCATGATAAAGAGGTAAAATACAATACCTCAGGACCTCATTGTAAATTTCCACTGAGCTGACACTGACGGTGTATGTCCACATGTCTTTTCTTTCCTCAATCTCATTGAACAGGTGTTTCAGGGCTCGTTGGTTGATGCCGGGGTTCTCAACACTACCCTGAGCAGACACGGATGGTTAATGAGACCTGACAGTCTTACTGAATAATTAATGGAAGCAGATCATCTGGGTCTAAAGTATGAAATTGGAACCGTGTGTTATGACAGGTATATAGTTACAGATCCCTATATGTTACCTCCATAGTATAGGTCTTGCCAGATCCTGTCTGGCCATAAGCAAAGATGCAAACATGATATCCATCTATACAGGATGTGATGAGCGGCTCAATTTCCTGGAACACCTGAGAGATAAAGAGAATCATATCAAAAAGAGTTATTTTCAGCTTTGAATGTTTTATTTTAAATTTTTTTATTTAGACATGATAGTATAGAATTTTAATATTGGTCATTAAAATGACCATTTTAGTGACAGAGAGGTAGGTTTTAATGTCAATATGACTTTTACCCTGCTTACCTCTTCTTGAGTGGCCTGAGGGTGAAAGACTTTATCCAGTTCAAAGTTTTTGGCCTTTCCTTTGCTTAAAACTGTGAGTGCAGATTCATTATTTGGGTCTGTTGTCACAACTACTGTTTGGCCTTCCTCATGTTGATCTTCCTTCAGTACTGGCTTTACACGACACAGCACACGGATATTACCTGGTGAAATTAAAAAAATTATTTTAGATTTTGCATTTTAGACAAAAAATATAATAAATTGTGAATACTGCCAACCTTTAAGCTCAACCAGCTGCTCGTGGTACTTCCTGCGGAGAGCTACCTCCTTTCTGTATTTTTCTATAAGGTCTTTGTTGGCCTCTGACATCTCATTTATACCTGCCATAATCTGTGGTAATATTAGAAAATGATTCATAAATGAAAGCAACAAATAAAATGTGACTAGAAGTTATACATGTAGTACAAGTTTGTGCAGCAGTATGGTGTTACTTACCTGCTTCTTGGCTTCTTTGATAGCTGTTCCATAGAAGTCAGAAAAGTTGCGGACCTGGCTGCGAAGGCTGGCATAATCGGTCTTTATGGTGCGTAATGTGGAAGGGAGAGCACTCAGACGCTTCTGGAGGGCTGGAAATTTCACATATAAACATGCAATGCTGCATTACATATGCACGTTTAACATCATGAGCACACTCAGAAGACTGTAAGTCAATATCAAGTGCAATTCAAGAAATCACCAAAACCATTTTAGAGGAATAGTTAACCCACAAAATTTGCTGAACGTGATCTCACACTCAGGCCATCCAAAATGAAGATGAGTTTGTTTCCTAATCAGAACAGATTTGGAGAAATTTAGCATGACATCACTTGCTCCCTAATGGATCCTCTGCAGTGAATGGGTGCCGTCAGAATGAGAGTTCAAATAGCTGATAAAAACATCACAATAATCCACAAATAATCAACATGACTTCAATCCATCAGTTAATTCATTGTGAAGTAAGAAACTGCATGTTAAAAATAATAATAATAATGAAAAAAAAAAACGTTTTCAGACATTTTTACGCTAAACTGTCTCTTCTGGTGAAATTATTATTCCATTATAACACTGGATAGGATCCATTGGTGAGTAAGTGATGGAATGCTAAAATGTTCGGATGCAGAAACAAACTCATCTGCAACTTGGAATGCCTGAGAGCGAGTACATTTTCAGCATATTTTCATTTTTGTATTGTCTGTTCCTTTAAGAAACTTGCATGAACCATACGATTTGTATTATACTGTATATACAGTAAACTCACTTGTGAACTGATCCTGCAGGCTCTGGAGATGCTCCTGAGAGCAGTTAGCTGCCGCTTTTACAGCCTCTTCTTTCTTTTCCTCAAGATGTCCAATCTCCTTCAGCAGCTCCTCCCTTAATGTCCCGATCTCCCTCTCATATGCAGCAATCTGTGGAGCCACTACTTTTTAGAAGAGCTGAGGTTTTCTACAGTTGTGTTCTGACATGTACTGTATAAATGATGAGTTTTGTATCTGAGATCCCAGTAGTAGAGCGACGAGCTATTTTGCTGCAGTTATACTGTATGTACAATCATAAAAACAAATGGATAAAGCTTAAAAACCTTGTGTTGTAAATTGCAGCTGACTTCATCTGAATGTCTGACGTTCTCCTCCAAATGTCGGCATCGTTCTCTCTGATTTCTTAGCTTCTCAGAAAGCTGTTCATTCTGTTGTCTGGCTTCAGATAGTTGGAGTAGAGTTGAAGGTGACTCGATCTCCACAGTTTGAGTAACATACTATAAGAATAAAAGTTATTTTTTTATCAAGTTTTTTTTTAGGTTTTTTTAAAGTTCATATTCTTGCATTTTTCTTACTTTTACCACAGGCTCCTTGTTGCGTTCTTTGTCCAATTCGAGCTTCAGCTCTCTCACGCACTCCTCTCGTCTCCTGAGCTCTTCTGCTTTTCTCCATTCACTTTGCTCCCTCTGGTGCTCCAGATGCGACAGCTGCTCTGCCTGCTGCTGCAGTGAACTCTCCAGCTGCAGAACGCGACTGCGCAGGTTCTCATTTTCCTACAGGATAGGACAGTAAACTAACGAAAAACTTCCTATGCAAAATTTCCATCAGATTCACAAAAGATTTATAATACAAATTATTCTAAATGAAGGAGTGTGTGCACCTTGTAATTTGTATGAAACATCCCCAAACTAAGCCCTTATACAGGTTTGCAGTACAACCTCACATCACAGGCTGCATTTTCCATTTTATTTCAAATAGAAAAGGATAGAAAAATGTGTACTTTGAGTGTCTTTCCTTATACTACACTGTAAAAAAACTAAACAACAACAACAACATATTTTTGAGTTACAAAAACTAGGACATGTGGAATACTTGAAACTACATAAAATCCATGTTAGACTGAAAGAGTTCCCCCAAAAGTTGTCCCAACTACTCAAAACACCGTTAAAAGTTAAAATGCTAAAATGTAAAGATTTTGTGAGTTCCCAGCATGCATTGCAGCATGAATTAATTATGAGATTACTACTATAGGATTTTTGTTTTGCTGTTTGCTGACTTTTTTGTTAAAGGGGTCATATGATGCTTTTTTAAAGATCATTATTTTGTGTATTTGGTGTAACAGAATATACTGACATGCTTTAATGTCCAAAAAACACATGATTTTTCAAATACTGTTCATTATTGTAGGTCCTCTATGCCCCGCCTCTCTCAAACGCTTCGTTTTCTACAAAATCCCTCCTTCTGACAAGCGCAGTCTGCTCTGATTGGCCAGCTGACCCAGTGCATTGTGATTGGCCAAACACCACAAGCACTTGTCAGAATGTAACGCCCCTTACCATAATCGCTAGCTTCATCTTTCAAAATAAATGTAAAGTTACTGAAACCACGCCTTCTTTCTTTGCGTGCACATTTGGGCGCATTATGCAAATATTTCCACATAGTGAGGTAGATATGTGGGGGCGTGTTAGAACGAGCCGTTTTAGGGGGGCGTGGCAGAGTCTTAACTTTGATAAAGAATATCTCTTTGGTTTTGAGACTTTAGTCTTTGCAACTTCAGGGATCTTATCTATGCACAATCAGCTTGTAACACTCCAAAGAGAAAGGAAAACTTGAAATCGCATCATATGACCCCTTTAAACATTTGTTGTTGCTTTGTCATTATTGCTGTTATGATGTTATTCCATTTGTTGATTGTCACATACAGTGGGTATAGAAAAGAATCACCCACCTTTAAAATAATCACATTTTGTTGCTTTGCAGCCTGAAATGAAGATGAACACGGTTTTTGATTTATCCAGCCGTATTTACTCAACGCAACTTATAACAGCCAAGTGAAAGATATAAGACCAACATAAGAAAAAACAAAACAAAAAACAGAATCACTGAATTGGAAAGAGGATCACCCCCTTGTGTCAGTAAATTGTTGAACCATCTTTTGCTTTAATTACAGCCTTTAGTCTGTTGGGATTTGTCTCTGTCTCTACTAACTTTGCACATTTAGACTTTGCAATATTTGCCCACTCTTCTTTGCTGAACTGCTAAAGTTCAGTTAAATTTGATGGTGAGCGTTTGTGGACTGCAGCCTTCAAGTCATTCCATAGATTTTCAATGGGGTTCAAGTCTGGGCTCTGACATAGGCCATGGAAGGACATTCACCTTTTTCTCCTTCAACCACTGTGTGATCGGTTTGCTGTGTGCTTTGGGTCATTGTCATGTTGGAAGGTAAACCTTCTTCCCATTGAAAACGTTTTGGCAGAGGGCAGCAGATTTTCCTCAGGAATTTGAGGGTATTTTGCCCCATCCATTTCTCCTTCTATCCTGACAAGTGCTCCAGTCCCTGCTGCAGAGAAACATCCCCATAACAGGATCTTACCAGCTCCATGCTTTACTGGAGGAATGGTATTATTTGGATGGTGAGCTGTACTGGATTTCCGCCAGACATATCGTTTAGTGTTGAGGCCAAATAATTCAATTTTAGTCTCATCTGACCGTAACACTTTTTTCCATGTGGCCTCAGAATCTTCAAGGTGTGTTTTGGCAAAGCTCAGTCGTAACTGCATGTGGCCTTTCTTGAGGAGTGGCTTTTTGCTTGCAACTCTCCCACACAAGCCACATTTGTGGAGAATTTGTGATATTGTTGTCACATGC